AACAATAGAAGAGCCATAATTGGGACTTTGATTACTGGGGTGGCTGTTTAATAAATAGGTGGGGTTCGACTGTAATTAGTTTTACCGGTTCAAAAGCCGTTGCGCAAGAGCAAGAAAGTCATCAGAATCTGTGCAATAACTTAAAGAAATCCAAAAGACGAAAAGAAAAAAACAAAAACAAGGAAACATGTTTCGGATGTTCAGTATCAGTCATCAGCTACACACACAAGTAGGGTAGAGTAGACGAGTAGATATCTTGTGTACTCATTTGTTATTCTTGCGCATGAAGTTCCCATTATATAAAACGCGTCGGGAAGCATAAGAAGGTAGCGGAAGGTTTCGGACCAAATCAAGTTCGCACCGTAAGTGTTCGCACCAGAAACTCGATTGGTGCGAAACTCAACAAATTTTCCAACGACGTACCAGAAAACAATACCTCTCCCCTCCACCCACCGGTAAACTAAGAACGAACTTTCGCGCGGCTAAACCTGGGCTAAACGAAGAAATCCCAGGAGGGAAAGAGCTTTAGAATTATCATATTCTGACTAAACAAAAGTAGCTGAGCAACTTTTCATAGCAGGAGGGAGCCGCACGTTGGTAAATAATCTTCCCACCCCACAGCCACAGGTCAGTCACATGACAAACCAGTTGTAAAAATATCCGCGCGAGCGACCGGTCTTTGTGTCTTCTGGCTACTAGTAACTTCAAGGTTTTTCACGGAGGTTTCTTTCCTCTTGGCTTTTGCTTGGACTTTTGAGTGGTAAATCGAAACAGGTCTTTGATTGTCTACAAGAGAGGAAGGCAAGCACTGTCTGCTAAAATCCAAACACAGGTTGATATGGTTTGGCAGTCCGTGTAGGTCTTTCGTGTGCTGAAACCTTGAATCTTTTTGAACCGGCGAAGCTTCGCTCTTTGACAAGAAGTCTTTGAAGTAGCAGAAGTTTTGGCATTTCCTGAGTGCTTCGAAAACTTATTGATAAAAAGGAGCCCCATGAAGAAAAATCAGTCCTTTGAAGAGAGAGCGGCCTTGCTTCGTTCAGAAGATCGGCGATATCGGTCGCTTGGTTCCGTTCACCAAAACAAATGCAAGGTCTACAAACGCCGATGGTACATTCTCACTATTTTCTCAATCGTTGCGGCGCTCAACAATTTAATCTGGAATACTTGGGGACCTATACAGGGTACTTCACAAGTTGTGTTTGGCTGGGACAACACGACTATTACACTGCTGGCTGATTGGGGCCCGATATCATTCGTTGTTGCCGTTGTTCCGATGTGCTGGTTGATGGATATGAAAGGTAAGCTTAAACGTTATGTCAATTAGATTAAGCTCATTGTGTTACTGATAGCAGACTTCTTATTCGTTTCAATGTAAGCTTAATTTCAAATGATAAAGATTAGACAGCGTTGGGTTTCGATGGATCCAATGAACAAACTGTGCGTGTAAAATTGCATAGTAGGAGCAGTTCTAAGTTACCGTAGTTCCCTCTAGAAATTCCAGCTTTGGTTCATACTTTCCTTGAATAACTGGATCATGTACACTAAAGACATCCGCAGTCAAATGTGGATCAATACCCTTAATTGATACCCTTGATCAACCCTCTGTCGACCCTTGATGGACACTTGATTGATACTCCATCGACACTCCATCAAAACCTTATTTGATATTCAATCAACACTTGATAGACATCTTGGTCAACAGTCAGTCGAGAACTGTGTAATTTTCAATCACTGCATATGAGATATCGATAGAGTGTCATTCCTGGGTCTATACTTGAGGGTATTGATTGATACTCGACGGTGGTTGCCTTTAGTACACATGATCCTGGAGACCTTGAATTTTCCAATAACCTTCCTTAGGGTGGGTATGGATATTTTCTGGAACCACACTGTCACAATTTCATACATTTCATCATATCCAGTTGACGTAGCAATGACCCTAGTAACAGAAGTTGGAGTTAAGTGTCAGCTCAGATAGGCTCCTTCGACTCACTGAACTGGAACAAGTGTGATCAGGAATATGGATCTAAGTCGATCATATTGACTCTTTTTCTGTGTTGATTTATAGGCCTAAGAGTAGCTGTCCTAGTTGCCATTTTTTGTGAGTTTATTGGATCTGGCCTGCGCTGTATACCACTCAGTGATCAGCATGTGAACCTACAGACTGCGCTTATCCATTGTGGACAGTTTATAACTGGAATTGGAGGTCCAATTGCCATGGCTGCAGCTCCAATGGTTTCTGCAGCGTGGTTCCCTCCTGAGCAGCGTACGACTGCGACTGCAATTTCTTCCCTGGCTTGTTACAGTGGGACAGCTTTGTCATTTGTAATTGGGCCACTTTTGGTTCCTGATGTGGAGGAATATTTCAAACAAAGTGAGCTTAACGTTACCAGTAATGGGCAGATTTCTTATCTTGAGCTGAGAAATCATTTTAACCAGACAGAGATAGACTACTTCAAGCACAAAATAATGCACCTGATGTACATAGAGCTGGGAATCACCGCTCTTACAATGTTGTGTGTTATCATTCATTTTCCTGAGAAGCCCAAACTGCCACCAAGTGTCACTGCTGCCATTGGACGTCTGGAATTCAAAGTTGGTGCCAAGAGCTTACTAAAGAATTCACAGTTTTGGCTGTTGGTGGTTATTTATGGAATAGGAACTGGAGTTTATGGTGGCTGGTGTTCAATTCTAGACCTGAACCTCTCACAGTTCGATATTGATCAGAAAACTGCTGGTTGGTTAGGGTTTGGTGCCGTTGTTGCTGGATCAGTCTCAGGAATTTCATTGTCAATGTAAGCACAAAGTTACACTTGTACTGTTAACTTAAACATACAGTTGAACCTGACTATCTAGAACATGTTATCTTGAACTCCCTGTTATCTCAGACTCAAATAATTTCTCCTTTGAATCTGATTTTCTTTGTTCATTTACAATAAATTGGCTATGTTAAACTCCTGCCTTTTTGTACAATTTTTTCATCTTCCTAAATCAGGAAAGTGGGCTTCAGGTGTAGTTAACATACATCAATTCATTAATTGAGACACTCACTTGTTGTTCTGTCATCTTTTATAAGCAAATTCCTTTAGGCTAACTAGTGTAAATCTCTCTTTATTGAAAACTTTTTAAATGGTGCACTTTTTAAACGGTACACCTGGGTGGAGAGAGGCACTGTGAGAGTAAAGTGTCTTGCCCAAGAACACGACACAATGTGCCTGGCCAGGGGTCGGACACGTAGTGCTCAATCCTGAGATGAGCACACTAACTATGGGGTCTCCGCACCTCCCATTAATGTATATGTAATGAAAAGTATTAATTTAAGATCATTGCTTTTTGTTTCAGATTTGCTGACCACTTCACTCGTTACATGAAGCTGATTGTCATAGCACTCCTAACTGGTGCCACAGCATCGCTCTCAATTTTTACTCTGATATGTGCTGGTGTTATTCCGTACTCAAAACTTGTCCTCTTTATAACAAGCATCTTGGGAGGGTTGTTCGTGAATGGAACCATCCCACTATTCTTTGAATTAGCTGTGGAATCTACATACCCAGTCGCTGAAGGAATCACCTCAGGATTCCTAACATTCTCCAATAATTTCTTGCAAATAGTTTTCTACATCTTCCCAATGCTGCCGCACTTTGGTCTAAAATGGATCAACTGGTGCACTTTTGTGACGACCGGTCTTTGCATTCCTCTCTTGATGCTGTGGAAGCAGAGGCGCTACCGCTCTGATGTTGATGCAAAAGACAGCTATGTTCCTGCCCCCCATAACAAAGAACTGAGCACTGAGGTCAATTATGGCAGTGGAAGTGTATCATCTAGTGTTAATGGTTTCCTACCAGGTTCTTCAGCACAGACACATTCTTATGGCACAAGTAGTTATCCTTCAGTTGCATAAGATTACTTTAGTGTAGGCTGATTCTGATGGTTGTGGGTGTAACTTATGACAAATTTGTTGGGGCAAGATCAAACAGGGATAAGAGTTGACAAGCATGGAAATTGAAGACTTGAACAAGAGTTCTCTGCAGCTCTTTTTAACTGTCTTCTGCTTGTGGTAAAATGAGCTTAGAACATGCCATTCAGTGAGAATAACAACATGCCTGTTAAACAAGGAAAACCTTAAAATTATGAAAATTTGACCAAACACGTAACTGAGATAATCGAGTAACGACCAGTAATCAGGCAAGTCTGTTGACTCACATGATTTAATCTTTTTGTTTACCACTTTGGGTTGGGTTTGAAGAGTAACATAATAAATACTTGTAAACTAAATTCTTTAGTTTGAGCAAATGTGGTTGAAATAAGGAAAGATATTAATGTCTCAGAGGAAATGATAATCCCAATTTATCCATCAAAATAATTTGGTTCATACTTCAGCCCATATCAGAAAGATACAGGCATGTTTTTATTAAAAATCTCTACTTTGTAAAGGGTTACAGGTTAGAGATTTCATGAGGTACTGTCAAGTTTCAGAGCATCGTATATAGATACAGAAACCCAGTCATGATTTGATGCATGCCTTTCGTTCGTAAATGGCTTGAACTAAGGAGTATCAGTAGATTTTGTAGGAAATTTCTTTGATATGATATGACAAATCGTACAAGCAAATGAGTTAGTGAGGATGGAGAACAATTGGGAATATTAGCACACAGCCAAACATTTTGACGTTTAACTCCAAATTCTACGAAATTTTATTCTAGTATTACATATTTTGTTGCAACTTAACTTAATTCATTTCCTACTCTGAGAAATCTTTTATGAAACTTGTCTTCCAACATACTTAAAACATCACAAGTTGCAAGAATATTTCACTATTTAACAGAGCCTTTTGTTTTTAAGATATTATTGATTGTGAGTTTATCATGTAGTCTTACTGAATGTTCACGATATAGTTTTGTATTGCTCATCAATAATATATACAGGTAAAAGATTTTCATGGTTATTTATAACAATTAATATATTATTTTACGGGACTTTTGGTGGTGATAAGTTTTTAAATTTATTTTAGAATGATATTATTAAATAGTCTGAAAATTTGACAGTGAGCAGTTACTGAGTAGATCATCAAGTGGTGTTAAGCAGGAGTTAGAGGGCTTGTTATTATGGAACAACTTTCCATAAGGGCAAAAGCAAATCAAACAGCAAACAGTCTAATGTTTCTTTTAAACTTCTGCTTTTACCTTTTGAAGTCCACCCTTTCTTGCGTTGGTCACACTTCTGGATGATCTAGGAAAGACTGCTCACTCAAGGCTGTCATTAATTTGCGAGTCACCCGTTGCCTTGGTCTTTACACCTATAACAAACTTGTTGTTTTGTGGGTGAATTATGTCCACAACAGGCATGTTCACCTGTAACGTCAAGGGCTCATCAAGGACACTCAACCGTAACACCTGTTACCATTAACAGCTTTTAATGACAGCCCTTACACTCAATATGACAACTAATAAGGGGCAATGTTGCTTCTGACCGCAGAGCTTGAAGGGTAGTATTCATGCTTTGTTATAAATTTGTTCAACGCGTACAGTTTTACCGGTACGTTGTTGATAAGAACACTCAAAAAGAGATTCAATTGACCAAATTTTAGGGGTTGGGTGGTGTTTAATTGGTCCTTCCAGGACTTAGGTTCGATTTCTGGAACTCTCTCAATTCCAGTCTTCTTTGGTCTTTGTGTTTAGGGAAGGGGCATGGGTTATCACGTCTATCCAGGGCTTAGCGTAGGACTCTTATTTTAAAGTAGCCATGTTATGAAGGCGTCAGCATATGAACAGATGATACATTGCGCTTAAATTAATGAGAGGCAATGTAATACCAATTTCTTATTAAATTTGTTTTCTCCATATAACAATTAGGCTACATTTTAAAGCTAAAATGTGTATAAATTTACCAATATTTCCTTCTATCAAAAACCAACAACAACATGGTTTTCAGATATGGGCCACTGAGGGGATGGGTTATTATTGTTAATAATTTATGAAAAAAAAAATGTGTATTAAAATCTGAAGTCAAAAGGACTGTCTGCTGTTTTTGGATCTTTAAAGTTAATGCAATCATGTGGGTTTAAACTGTCAATGGAAGGTTGACCAATGTTGTTTTATGGCATTTCTATATATTAAGGTGGCCAGTAATGGAAAGTGCTAGTTCATCAGACTTACTTTTGCAAGTAACAGAAATTTCCAGGGTAGGCTCTTGCAAAGAATTAAATTTCAGATAAGCCCATGGATACCTCCTTAACTTGCCCCCCACCCCCACTCCCCAACATTTATACATTAAGAAGATGTAGAGAAGCTGTGTGGAAAACATTTCTGGAAAGCAAATCTTGCATATAAGCAGTCAATTTTTCCAAGGTAATCAATCAGGCAAACCAAGTCTTTTTTTTTTTGAACATTGAAGCCCGTGTCTGCAACATGCAATTCTTTTGCTTCTTTCTATTTTTGCTTGCCATTTTTCTACCATCCTGAATTCATCTAATTTTGCAAATCTTGGCTCCTCCTTAGGAAGTGGAGAAAATTGCCCTCCTTGCTAGTCACTAGTAATATTTTGGACGCTGACGATGTGAGACGTTTCGTGAGTCTTACACTCACGTTTATGAGGTCATCATTTCTGGAGCAAGGACCTGATTGGTGAGCGTTGATCACGTGCTCCCCCAGAGTCGGCCATTTCAAATGTTCGTTGAAAATTGCGGCGGAGGTAATCGTTGAAAATTGTATTTTCCAGCACATTTGCAAGAAAGTACAAGCTGCATTTGTACATAGATTAAGACGTCTGGAAAATATGCGATAAGCCATGGCGGATGATGCCGATATTACGAAGCTGCCGCTCGAAGATCGCCTCGTACACAAGGTCAATAATTTCGCGCCGTAGAGGTTTGAACTTCCAATATTTTGGAAATGACAAGAAAATTCAGCTTATGCAAAAATTATATTTTTATAATCTAGGTATGGAAGGCAAGGTTAAGTGGGTACGAAGAGTTGGTAAAAATTTATAAAAAGATAGACGACGAAAACAACAATGAGTTTAATAAGTATCTGGGAATGCTCAAGAAGTTTGTGGTCGACAATAACGCTGTTGCTCAAGACAAGGGTCTCGAAGCCATTCTGGCTTTCTTAGAAGGTGCTTCGCCTTCTATCTCTGGAAGGTTAGTGCTCTCTGTTTTGCCTGTTATCAGTATTTCCTGACAGAAACATACCATACAGAGGCGGTGTACGTCTATAGGAACTGTTATGTCAGAAATTATTATGCCTTTAATTAATTTGAACGGGCTCTCATTCAGGTTCGGTAACTAAGCTCATATCGGACCTAGAAAATTATTGTATTTCTTAAAATGTGAAAGAAACAGTTCAGCCGTAATTCCAACCGCGCTCTGTAGAGTAAAGAGGGTCAGCAGATGTTAAAATTGCAATCAGTTTTAATTCACTTGGTAAATGATATGTAAAAATATAATTTAATAACAATACAGTAATAAAAAATTGGGTCGCTAATATTTCACTTTTAATTCGGTGATTGTTGTAGCAGTCAGGTCAGTTAGTTATTGTAGTTAGTTGCTATAGCAGTTAGATAGATTCTTTCTTTACAACAAGGCAATCCCAGGATACATATAGTCAGAATCAACTGCTCCTTTCTCTTCTGGTCCACACTCGTGGAGCCCCCTGAAAGACTCCCACGAGGGGACATCAATACAATGCAGTGGGAGGTACAGGGATCAAACTTAATCATATTATACAGACTTTGCTAGAGCTCAAATATGTCTCCCAGATAAGGGCCAGTTTGCAGCTAAGCATTATGGAGGCCGCATGGCTGAGTGGTCAGAGCGTCAGAATCGCAATCTAGTGGTGTTGCGTTTGAGTTCTGCTCTGACCACTACCTGGATTTGTTTCTTGGTAGCCCAAGTTCAAATCCTCAGCCACACTAGCTTTGTAGGTAGCCAACTAGTGATGATGTTGTGTCTTGCAAAGATACACAGACAATTTCTTTCTGATTTTACCAATAATGACTGGTTTTTAGCCAGTCTCCATTGTAGCAACAACAACAACAACAACAACAACAACTTTTATTATGACTTGCATATTTGCAATTTAAATGGTTTGAACTCAGAGATGTCAGTGGCTCATGCATTTAATGTGGCTCTCCACCAAGCAAATTTTAAAGAAAGACTTTTTGCTTGCTGGCATTTTAATAACCAGAATGTAAACACTTTTTTTCGATTCACACTTCCTTTGAATAATAAAAATCTTTGACCCTGAAGGTATTGCTTAGGTCATCAAAATCTCAGTGATAAATAATGGCCAGTTTTAAACAATGCTTTATGCAAAGGTCACACCAGATCACATGGACTACCACTCCCCACTTGCCTGTGAACTGTCAGCTTCTAACATTCCTCTCTATGCAGCATGTGATATACTAGTTAACTACTATAACATACTGATGCTTTAAGATGATTAACATTTCAGAGTTGCTGGAGATCTCATAGCTGGAGTAGTGACCAAGTGTTTAAATGCCAGACCAAAAACCAAGGAAAAGGGAATTGATATTATTTTGATGTACATTGAAGTCGAGAAACAAGACGTAGTTCAGGTAAGTGAAGAAAACGCCTACTTACCACAGTTCAATTCTGATATCAAATGTCTACTTCTCTTATTGGTCACATGACTAGCAGTGGTGTTAAACTACTAACACTTAATTTTTATGGGAATTTAAATTCACATATAAATGGAAAAATGTTTGACCTGTGACCGGCTTAATTGTTTAGGAATCAGTTTGTATATGCTGGGCAAAACCACATGGTATGGCTTGGAAGTAGAATCTCAGATATACGTATGTGCAATGCTTTTCAGTCTAGGAAATATGTGGTTAATATTTAAATATTTTTGTTGTTGTCCGTGTTTATATTAGGAGGAGGTCTTAAAAGGACTGGAGAACAAACAGCCTAAAATTGTTGCTGCTTGTACTAGTGTGCTGCGTCAAGCCATCAGGTGATTACTGATTTTCATTTGACTGGCTTGTTATGAAGGTTACCATTGCCACTTGCTGTCATCTTAGGATAGCTACATGTATAATAGTTCAAACAGCTTTGCCTTTAATATTCTAACATGATGTACTACATACATCTTTTCTCAACAGTGAATTTGGTGGCAAAGTCTTTAGTTTAAAGCCCATTGTCAAAGTTCTACCTAAACTGTTTGATCACAGTGATAAAAATGTCAGGGAAGAGGTAAGCCGATGTACAAATTCTCCTTGCTGGTCTGAATACATTTTTCATGTACTAGTCAGAAGAATTTGATTTGCCAGTATAAACCTGCAGACACATCTGTTATTTTTCTTGGTTCTTGTATGGTTAAAGGCTGAAGGGTGTTTTTTTTATTGTTGACTTTATTGTTGCTATGATGTTGTAAGTGACATGTCAGTAATTTGAAAACTACTATTAATAGTGTAATTTAATAACATCATAATTTTGGAATGAACTCCTGACTACCTTGAGTATCAGTACCACTATAATGAGTAAAGGAATTGAAGTAAAATCTTGTTTTGTTCTCTTTCTGTGTACTGCGTCTGCCATCTTGTAAATGTGAAGCTTGGTAGCCCCTCATTCAAGGCATTGCAAAAGATTGGAGATGAAAATTTTGGTCCAGGTCTCTTACGAAAAATGGTGACCGGCTCAATGAAAATCTTAGCCAGGAGACTATTTTCTTAGCTGCAACCCTGGTTCTGATTGTTTTTTGGTTGGCTATGAGTCGTTCATAGGCTGTGATTAATTTTAACAGGCCAAAGCCCTTGCCATTGAAATATACAAGTGGATCAGAGACATCATCAAAACACAGCTTCAGAATATAAAACCCGTTCAGGTATGTGTTATTATTGTTAGCAAACAGGAAATTTTCTCACGATGCCATGGCAACCTAGTCTCCTTCACAGCTGTTATTAGGGTTGTCATACAAGACTTCTCCTTACTAGTGGGAGAAGCATTGTGTGATGACCCTAACAACGCAGGGCTCGACTGTCAAGAAAAAACCTTGGGGCCAGCTGACCCCTAAGTTTTCAGATTTAGTCACCAGCAAAAGTATTTCAGTGAAAATCATGAAAGTTAGTCATCAGTGAAAAAGATTTGGTCGCATTGGTGACACCAGCGGTAGCAACGTCGAGCTCTGCAAAGGCTGCGAAGCAGACTAATGGAAATCATGCTGGTGTCTGACTGAGCAATGAAATTTGCCTCCTTTGAGAATTGTGTTGTTTTCTCTTCTAAACTAAATAAATCAACCCATTACACTCTATCAGACACAAATGATGCACTATTTTCCAACTGTTGCAAACTTGCATGGGGGATTGGAGGGAAAAACTAATTAAAATCATTGTTTTCATTATTTTTAATAACAGATGAGTCATCAACCATATCATTATTACAAGTAAATTTACATACTTAAAATTTAATAATAGTATTGAGTAATAATTCCAACACATACAGATTATTACTAAGTTTTATATTTGACCTACCCATGGAAATCCTTAGAATGTGCCAACAAAATTTAATTGCTTTCCAGGTCATTGGACATGCTTATAGAATAAATTGTTGTTTTATCATTTGTAGCTGAATGTTTATTAAACCATTTGATTAATTATTAAATAACCGTAGGGAAAAATTATGTCATCACATGGCATATTCCTAACCACAGGTTTTATTTTCAGCTGTTCAACGCCTAATTACATGCAATATTTTGTGAACAAAATTAGGGTTTATTTTGGGGAGTAGCGTGTGTAATTGAGATGAAAACTGTGATTTTTAAAATTTTGAATTGACCAAAAGACTGCCTATAGAAAGTGGAAACGATTGAAAAATTGTTTGGATATGATGTAATGAGTTTTTGAGCCCAGTAATATGGAGATCATCATTGGCAATGTACTTTTCAGGGCTTTTGTGAAGAGAACACAAAACCTGTCTTGCAATGCCAAAGAAAAAAAGACTCAGATTTCAGTGTTGCGTAATGCTCTGCCTTCTGAAAAATGTCACAATTTACCAGGTACCCCTGTAGAAAGGCTTTCCCTCAACACTACGGTAATGTTGATACCATTGATTTTGTTTAAGAGTGACCATTGTTATTGTAAGTTGTTGTTAATGTTATTGAAGAGAGAATGTTGATTTGTTTTTCTTTTGTGAAGAATTAGCTTGTGTTTACGTGTGTATGCCCTCTTATATGTTCTGGGTCAGTTTTAGCACAATCATACAAAAAACGTTTGCCTATTTATGCGTTTATTCAATACATGTGCCATAACTTTTAATAATACTTAATGATATGACAAAAGAATTAACAAAGTCCAGGGGTTAGTTTCTTATGAAATCTTATCGTGTCATGGTAATTGAACTTAGTTTCCTTGGTTTGCAGGAACCAGCGCTAGGGTACACTGTGTTCTATCACCCCATCACTGGTTATTTTTCTCATCTTTTGTCTGATGTAAAGCTTTCTCAATGTTTTACAGTTAAAGGAGCTGGAAGAAGAATGGGGGAAGCTTCCACCGGCCCCGCCTGCCCCTACCAGATTCACCCGAAGTCAACAGCAGAAGATGGCAGAGCATGCAGCTGTTGCACCTGCCGCTACTGATGGAGATGATGAATCAGCAACTGATGGAGGTTCTGTGGTTTTTGTACGAACAATAATTGAAATGAAGCTTGTTGGTTTCCTTTATATTTTGTTTCGCATACTTTCTTACACATAACATGTTCATGCCTCTATACATTTAGCATGTATTTTATCTTTGACGGATCACAGGTCCTACGGAATCCTTTTTTTGGTCTTCCTGGTATTACCCCACCCTCTCTAACTGACTCCATGATAGGCTCAGTGCCTTAGCTCAGGTCAGGCTTTTAGCCAGGATTTAAAAGAGTGGGCATCCAAAATGTACTATAGGGTCTGCTCAAATGAACTTGTAAAGCAACATGTGAAAATTGAAAGAAAAAGTGAGTGTACTCGGGACACCTAGACACCCTAGCGTAAAGCTAAGCCTGGTTCAGGTTCTAGTGGTCATGCATCCTTGTTGGATTTTACAAGTTGACTGGGTTTGGAGCATTGTTTTGAAGTCACCTGCATTACTTTTTGTAGGTGGAGTGGCTGTCCCTGA